CTGAGGTCATTTTTACCAAACTGGAATCAGCCCAAACCTAAACCCAAACCTTTGATTACACAGAGTATTGAATAGTTTTCTTAATAACTGCAGTATTATGGGCTACAAGGTTGCTCGGTGGTTAGCACAGTTCCCTCGCCGGTGAGGACACTCCGGGTTCTCCAGCTTCCTCCCACACAGTCCAAAAACTTGTTGAGGTTAATTGGCGATTCTAAATTGTCCGTAGGTGTGAATGTGAGTGCGCTTGGTTGTCTGTCTCTAAGTGTAGCCCTGTGATAGACTGGTGACCTGTCCAGGGGGTCCCCTGCCTTTGCCCTAAGTCAGCTGGGATAGACTCCAGCCCCCCACGACCCTAGTGAGGATTAAGCCGTATATAGCTAATGGATGGATGGATGCGGTATTCTCATTTAATTAAATTAGAATGCAAATTGAGCACACTAGATATGTATCCTGTGCAGATATTGCTGTTTTAAGCCAAGGGTACATGATACAAGCTTTAAAAAGGTACTGCTACACACGGCACTTGAATGTAATCGACCATCACAGTTGTAAAGAGACTGTTTGGTAAGATTATAGGACATTTAAAAAAATTAAAAATCCTTCAAAATAGAGGATTAAATTGCCACAAAAATGAGAAGCGCAGTCAATGTGAAACTAAGATTGGGAGACTTAAGCGTCACAGAAGACTTTGTCATGGTGCCCCTTCACTTCTTTACTAACTAAACCTCCACAAAGCCCTTTGCTTGCCAACACAGAACTATGCATCTCCTCCAAACATTGCAGTATTACAGCGTAAAAAGCTCCACCTGCTGGCACAACCAGGGCCTACAGCAAATCCACAATACTTAAAGTGTGTATAATCAAAATATAGAATAGTTTTGGGACTTGGTATTGTTAAATGACTTTTCTCGGATCAGGACGCCCCCAACAAAAACCTAAAATCCCTCTTTGTATTGGTTGATCTTTGACCATCAGCTGGAGGCCATAAAAGGTTTATGAGGCTGATAAGGGGGAGACCTGCATGTTAATCTGAATGGCAACTCAAGACAGCAGACAGGAAGGTGACTGCATGTTGCTGAGAGATGCCGAGGCGGTGTTTGTCCGGTGCTTGGTGAGACTCCAACGGCGAGAGAGCCATGCGTAATAGTCGCTGCCTGCGGTGGGTAGAGAGGGCGCCCGGAAACCCATTTGTGCGTCAGGAACACAAACATTAAAACACACACACTGTAAAAAATATCCTTAACATCAATCTGCACTTGAAAGGTGTCCACATTGTCTCGTCTGATGTTATTTTCGCAGTTCTTTAAAAGTGGAATTTGCGTAATTGGTAGACTTTTTCCACTTTTTTACGAAAATATGCGCTCAAATTCCTGTTAGAATTAGACAGTAACAGGTTCCTTCTTATGTTAAATGACATAATATTTAAAAGGGGGTTAAGATGAACTGAACACGACAAGATCCAACCTGACTTTAACACACTTCTCCACGTGTTTAACGCAGCGAGCTGTCGGTTCGGATGTTTCTTGCAGTGTGCGGAGTGGCACCGCTCTGCCGGGCCGAGCTGAAGCTCTCAATGCGCCCTCCCCTTTTTTTTTTTTTTTTTTTTTCCTCCTGTGTTTTTTGACACACGCTGTAGATCTGCTCTAATAGCCTATCGCAGTTTGAGACACTCACTTAACAGTCACACACACTCTCGCTGAACCCAAAAAAAGCACACTCCTCAACTCCACCGGTTGGGTTGGGTGGGGTGGTGGGGGGGGGAACATAAGATACCAGATGAGATTTGTTTCCAAACGCGCACCGATGGCGGTGTGAGGCGTTTGGCTGGAGAAGTACGCACGGCGGCTGTGGATTTGTGAACATATTTTTTGTTTTGTATTTTTTTCCTGTTTTTTATTTGTGCATCTTCCTCTCCCTCTCTCTGGATCCTGGTTTTTTTTAAAGGGGAAAATAACATGGATTACTCATTCTCTCTACTCTTACTCTTGACAACCGTTTCGTCTGTGTCGACTGGACAATTCCCATCAGCGCAGATGTGAGTACAGCTTCAAAACAGCCTGTTGGCTTTTCAAAGTCCGCGGTGTTAGTAGGAATGACAGCTTCGGCGTTTTTTATAGAGTTCTACTTGTCGGAATCCAGATTTATTTAGATGTAAAGATTTGTGGGATCACTGAAAGATGATCATTCAGTTTTAAGTTGCAGTTGGTGGGAAATTCTCTTTGAAGCGTCTCAGCGGGAACAGAAAGCGCTTTCTTCTTCTTCCCCAAGTGGTGATGATGATGATGATGATTGCACATTACTGAAGCTACAACTTCACTTTGTGAAACACGATATTTAAAGCCACTGTCCTTTTATTACCAGCCTGCAGCAGCGTGACATGTGGCCGGCTGTCACATGAATCATCCCAGCAGAGCTCTGGGTGTCTGAACTTTTTCTTCCCCATGTCCACACACAGTTCAGAGGGAGGCACATTTGAGCTGATGTTTGTAATGAATCTGATTTATTTTGCAGTGCATGAAAGTGGAGAACACATGCTCCTCTGGTCAGAACAGTTTTGCCAAAATGAAATGAAAGTATTAGTTGGTTATTGAATAATCATTTGTTAGAAAATGAACAGTTTTAATCAGATATGTTGATGTTTTGCTGGTTTGTATGACTGGATATCTCTGAGCTTTGGACTGTTGGTTGTATGTTGAGGTTGTTTCTCTGAAATTGTGATGAATGTTTTTTTGGACTATTTTTAATTACAGGGTGACTTATTAAGAAGGTAGCTTTCCTAAAACAAAACAATGACAGACTAATAATTCTCATGTGCACCTTTGGAGGCTCATTTTGTGTCCAGACTGCTATTAAAACATAAACTGTTTTAAAAGATGTAAAGTCAAAACTGAGCAGATGGTTCCTTGGCAGACAATTGTTGAGCACTTTACTGTAACCAGGGATCAACTGATTATCAGCCTGGTGGATTAGCAGATATGATTGTCAGCATTTTTTCAGTTATTGGCAAAATTATTATTATTTTTTTAAACTAATTCCCGATAAAATAGGTGTGTTGCTTTGGCTCTCTGACGCATCACCTCTCTCTGTGATCTTGAGCAGTGTCCCACCAACAGCATCCATCCATCTGATTAAGTACACAACAAAAGTAAAAACCTGTCAACACTGAAGGAGAAATGTTCAAAAGTTGTCTTTTAATCAAACATTTGCAATACATGAAGGCATTTCAACAAACACACATCTAGAGTTTAATTTTTGCCACAAATCTGTTTATTGATTGTTGGCCCTGAACAAATCACATCTGTGGCTGGAACATGTGCTCAGTTGTAACAAATTGTGTAAGATCCCCCGTCTGCATATGAATTTAGAAGCTCTTGACCAGTAGTTTAGCTTTGTTCTGCTCTTTATTGCAAAAGTCGTCCAACTACGAGGCGAAGACTCCTGCAGGAGGTTAACTCAGATTAGATACGTTGCTGACTCGGTCTATATCTGACTGTTTTTGCCGTGCAGCATTAATATGTCACAGGAATACAGCTCCCAAATTAAACAAACATGTAGGTGTGCATGCCCGTTCATCCACCGCACCGCACCTCGCACTTAATCAACAGGTTTAAGATTTTCCAGATGGTTCTGCGGGAGCCAGGACGACAGGGTTCGGTTTTTGAATGCAGTCCAAGTACGGTCCCACAGCCACGATGGCACTTAGCCTAATGGCCGAGCACAATGATGTCAGACTAGCAGAGTGGCCTGCCCACTCCCGATATTTCATGGGCACTAAGTGGATTGATCTGTGGGCTGTGTACATGGTATTCACACAGGCTTGGCAAACTGCACAACCACATTCACTGATGCTGTTGACTCTCTTTGTTTGAATTATGAGAAGTCAATTTAGGAGAAAGGATGCCAGGATCAAATATTGCATCTCTCTCAGTCGTCATTGTTGTTGCGGTTTATTCAGTTCTGGGAAAACCAAACGAAAATTTCCCTTTTTTACTTCTCGCTGTTTCACCGTGTGCAGCGGCAGCCAGTGTAGAGTCTGGGTGTACTTGTTGTCATGATGGTGATTTTGAGTGACAAGCTTCACGTTGACTCCTCAAGGTGAAAGTCGCAGAGGGAAGAAACTAGAAGGGGCAAAGATGGAGAGGCTGACCCAGAGTGTTCTCCTCCAGGAAATTCAGGAATGTGGATGAAGCAAGATCCTAAGTGGCTTGTGACTAAAATAAGACATTTACAGACAGTATGTGGCTCTATCATCCCACTATATGTACAGTATGTGTTGGCTGGCCTTTCTTTCTTTCTTTCTTTCTTTCTTTCTTTCTTTCTTTCTTTCTTTCTTTCTTCCTTTCTTTCTCACCTCCCTGTCTCATGGCTTCAAGTGTGACTGTATCTCTGGGCTCCATCTCTAACCTCACATGCCAGCATCTGTCTGTTTCAGATCTTCATGTCCCCTCTCCTCCTCTTCCTCCTCCTCCTCCTCCTCCTCCTCCTCTCAGCCCTCCCTCCATCCCTTCTCACTCTCTGTCTCATCGCTCTCCGTTTCCGTCTTGTTCTTTCCCTGTCCATCTTCTCTCCATCCGGCTCCCTTTGTGTCTCTCGTTCTTCTCTCTCTCTCCTCTCCTCTCTTCTTTGCCGCCCCGAAGGCAGATGATTAACATCATCGAATCTGAAATGCAAAGTCTGATGTCATAGACGGTGCCCCAGAGATCTTGGCGCCATCTAGCACACAGAGATCACGAAGGATACAAAAGAAAAGATAGAGATGAATTTTTTTTTTTAAAAAGGGGACTGCTTGGCCTGTTGGATCCCATGTGTATATTGCATGTGGGCATTTTGATGAATGAATTCTGCATGTGTGGCAAAAAACCCAAGAAATGCCCAAACCTTTTTGTCACCATGTGCCATAACACTGTGCTGAATCCAAGACGAGCTTCTTGCTGAATTTCAGATACAATTTGTCCCCATCGTTTCTTTTTCCACAGTTTGTGTCACCCTCTGCTCTGTTTCTCCCACTTGCATTTTTTTTTTAAGGCTAACTAGATTTCATGCTTAACCAGCTAAGAGCTGTGCTTGTCGTGTTTGCGGCCTCGTCTCCGGCGATCAGCGGGCATAATGTGAGGAGGTGCTTGCGAGGGACAGAGAGCGACATGGGCACTTGTGAGGCAAGGAGCCCATAAAGAGATACACAAGCAGATTCCCGAATGTGTCGGAAACAAAACAAGCTCAAGATCCAGGCTGAGAGGGAAGGCAGCAACATCCTTCTGTGAACTTGAAGCAATAGTTTTGGGATTTATGCTTGTTTCCTCTCAAACCCAAAATGTAAAAACTCTAATTTGTGGCTTGAGGGAAGGAAACTTGTGGAACTAATTCTTGGCGAGCGTCATTGACCAAAAATAGTCCCATAAAACCAATCTTTTTTTTTCTGTCATTTACCAAATAAGATATTTATCTGGTTCTATCTCTTTTTAAGCTTTTTAAGTGTATGTTGCAGCTTCAAGGACAAATGAAAGTTTAAAGATCCACTTTAGTTTTGTGATAGTTTGAATGTTTTCGGAGCCTTGGAAACTTTTACGGTGATTTGAGTTGGACTCTCCATTGGCCACGGTCGTCTAAAACAAAAACGACTGATGTTTTGACGCAATGATGAAGTAATATTTCAGAAGAAAAATACTTATTACAGTGAACTGAAGTGAAAAAAAACACACTTTGGTTCGAAATGTTAACGTCAACAAATAGTCAGCGATTTGTTGACTAATCGCAGCAACTCAAGTCTTGGGTCTTTGGACTTCCTTAAAGTCTTTTGTGGAGACAATAAATAAACAATAAGTTGATTGGGAGAGGGACATTAAGTTTAAAATATTGATGCGGACAATGTGTTGACATCATTAATATGCTCACCTTACATCCATCCATGCATCCATTTGCTGTTCTTCCTTTTGAGGGTCGCAGGGGGCCAAGGAAGCTGATCACAGCCGACACTGAGTAGGAGGTGTGGCTCCCTTTGTGGTAGGGGCTGCAAACAAGATGGAAAATGGAAACTTTTTAGGTAGTTTTTTATTATCTTCTGATTGTGGTCTTCGTCCCTGTTACCATCCTGAAGCAGTCTAAATGGTATCAATTCGGGGGTATCACTAACCGGTGGTATTTTTTCATGAGAAAGTCATCCCTGTGAGGATGTTGTCGCTTTACGGTGCATCTTTGAGATATTTATTGAATCAGGTGTAATCTACTTGATAGAGGTTTCATTTTCTGCCTCCTTTTGTCTCTTGTATGATGTCTTTGTGCTCGTCTTGAGGCTTTTTTTCCATCCCAGTGGACTGACACCGACAGTGGCCTGTAATGAATATGCCACAGTTCCCACATGCAGGAAAGAAAACTTGCAGATGCTTTTACATTTGCTTGACGCCATCTTTGTGATAGACAGATTTGAACCAGAAAACATACCTAAATCCCTGGAAAATCATTCTCGGTACAGTCACGGTGTGGTATTTTCTTCTTCTTCTTTATTTATTTATTTATTTTTTTTACAAATTTTGTTTTATTTTAGTCAATGGAAAAGGCTCCAGGCTGTTTCTTGATTGAATCATGGAGCCTTCGACTCTTGTTTCTTGCTTTGGCAGAGACAGTGGGATAAAGAATGTGTCATCTAATAATAAATAAAAAAAAGGAAAAACAAAAAAAAACATTTAGATTTCCCTTCAACTTTTATTCCGGTGTCAAACCTACACTGGTAATATATGGAGATTTGAAGAGGACGATTTGAGTGTAATGAGCAGCAGATGGAAATGATCAGCTCGGGGCTGTCTAGGGTTTCCTTGGCTGTGATTTGCACCTCTTGGCCATACGGGAGTTGGTGCTAGCAGGTATATTTCAGGAGGCATGCTCTCGCCCAGAACCAGGCAGCTGACAGTTATATCCGTTACACATGCAAGAATCTGCATCGATATGGATAATGCTCGCTCTTCACTCTCACTTTTATCTTTTACCCAATTTTTCTTTTGCTCTTTTCCTCGCACATTTTTTTTTTACTCACTCTTCCTC